AACACCATGACATTTCCCAGCCACACTAAATAAAGACAAAAATCCCTCCTCCCTTTGGGAAGGTGGAGTTGGGATGAAAATCAGGGAATAGGACCCCAAACCCTTCCCCCCACAATGAATATTCCGCCCACTCATTTTCACACTCTATGTAACCGATCTGCCAGTGAAATCAGGGCAGTAACTTCCCTGAGACTGCCTGCTGTCCCCGTGAGAGTGTACTATCTGCCCCTTAGTAAATCCTCGCTTTACTTTCTTAGATTCTCATCTCTGAATTCTTTCTACCAGAGACAAGAACCTAATCACTAGCAACAATATGGCTACAAAAGTAAAGGAACAGAAGATAAAATTTCTTGTGTGTGATGTTCTTAGGAGTTTCTCTCTTGACAATTTTCATATATAAAATGTAGCAGTTAATTATATTTATCAGTTTGTACATAACAGCTCCAGTATTTATTTATCTTATACCTGGAATTTGTAGTGACTTTTGACTGCCTTCATCCAGTTCCCCCTCTCCCTCCTCCCCACCTCTCATCCCGCCCTCAACCCTCACCTCTGGTATCCACAAATCTCTTTTTCTGAGTTTTTTGTATGTTTGCTTTTGAAGTATAAGGCACCTACCACACTCTGTTAGTTCCTGTTACAAGCACGCTGTGTTTTAAGCATCAAAGGGGAGCTCTGGTTTGCCCTCCTGTTCTGAGACAAGTCAGAGAACATTTCCAAAGACCAAAGTGTGCTGCCGACACCTGACGACTGCAGCCCCAGGTTTACGCTGAAAAGCGTGTTACCTCGAAACGATCTACTTTAACTGATTCAGAATCTTACCCTTTGACTCCTCAATTTCTTATAGCGGATTTCTGGACTTTTTAAGATTCTCCTCACTCAAGTAGAGCTGATTTACAATGTCGTGTTAGTTTCTGGTAGATTAAGACATTAAGTGAATGCAGCTACGTTTTAACCTTATTCCTCTTTGTTTCATCTTTCTCTTCAGGGTGGCATGGAAAAACCACTGTGAGGGCCACGA